CGGGCCGCGGCCGAGCTGCCTGCGCCGCCCTCCCCCGCCGGCGGGGGACCCGGAGCGGGTAGACGGGGCGGGGAGAGCCCTGGGCAACCTGCAGCTGTCGATCTCCATCAGCGCCCGGCCCCTCTCGGGGATCCGCGGGGCGGGACGGGCCTTTCCCTCCGCCCACCGGGACATCGCCGGGCACTGGTGTAAGGGGTTGGGGAAAGCAGGAGGGGAGATTGGGGAGGTAGGAAAGTGGGGGGGGGGGGCAGAAGGCACCTGGCCCTTGGTTTGCAGATCCGTAAGGTCTAATCATTCCCTCTCAAAAGTACGCCTTATTTTTGTTCTGTTCTGTTTGAATCTCTGCCCCTCATTTGGATCATTCCATTTTTTTCTTTTTTGGAGCCACTACTTGTCAGAACAATTCAAGTCCAGGAGTGAATGGGAGTTGGGGTGGGGGGGTTGTCATTGCTGCCTGGCCACACGTGATCGTGTGTCCTGGAGAGCAACAACCACCCAGGTCTGAAGTTGCTTCTGGTTTAAAAAAAAAAAAAATGACTTTAGCAGGGCCTGAAGAGATGGTTTAGCAGAGCAGAGCCCAGCACCTTCTAGAACCAGCTTCCCTGGGCTTCATGTCTTCTGCTGGGTTTCTCTGCAACATTCCTTTGGCACAAGGCCAATTCATGCACTACCAGGACAATCGAGGCTAATGCTACTGTGTTCCTAATAAAAATTAATGATGACTTCATCTCCCCTGGGCTTCCTATTTAGTTTTATAATAAAGTGTCTTTGTCAAGCGTGAAGTCCCATTTTGACCTTTTCTTCAGCTGATACTCTGTGAGGCTACTGTTTTACTTCTGAGAAGGCATATTTTGTCTATCCAGCAGCCCTCCATTCTCCTACGAACCACCCCCCCCCCTCCTTCCTTAGGGGATCTCTCTCTACTCCCTGTCCCTACCATGTCTGGGAAATGGGAGTGGCCCATCTACTTTCACGACCATTCTGGTCTTTCAGGAAGCATGGGTGGAGGGAATACTTTGCTGAATCCCCAGTGGGTGCTTCTTGCATAAAGGTTTATAAATATGTGTTGGCTGAGTGTGATAGGGAAGAGAGAAGGGATCCCATGCCTGATCCAAGCAGAGCCAGTCAGTTCCAATGTGAAGAATTCCAGAGAAGGCTTCCAAAGGAAGAGGATCTTCTCTGTGGAAGGGAAGTAGGGGAGATTTTGGAAGCCAGACTCTCTACCTTTTCAAAGAAGACAATAGATATAAGGAAGGCTTGTAGCACCATCCTGCGATCTGTCATCTTCACTCATCCCCAATACCTCCTCTACCTTAATTTCCTCTGAAATTTCTTCACATGACCTATTAGAGTCTTCTTTTAACCTAAGATAGCTCAAGTTGAATTTCATCCTTATAATAAGCAAAAGAACTCTCTAAACTTCTTGTCTAAGTATGATGTAACAGACTTTGGTTTGCATTCTGCAGGTATGTTCATCAGATTGCTGTCACCATGATAAAATACCTAAGAAATACAACTTAAAGGAAGAAAGGTTTATTTGGCTGATGGCAAAAGATTTAAGTCCATGGTTCTTCATTTCATGACAAAAAAAAATATGGCTGATTGAAGAACAATATAGAAGAAAGCTGATCTCCTCAAGGCAGCCAGGAAACAGCATCTGAGAAGAAGGGTCCCAGAACAGATTTGCCTTTGAGAGGTACACCTCCCAATGAACTACTTCTTCCAACTAGATCCCACCCCCTAAGATTCCATTCAGAATGGATTCATAAACAAATTGATTCATAAAGCCTGAACCCTCATGATCCAACCTTCTCTCAGTACCATCACCAGCAGAGGATGGTAGCAATGGAAGTCTTTACCATATGAGTCTAAGCAGGGACATATGCAAACCATAACAGCAGGCTACACATTTGCAAGCCTGAAGACCAGCAGCAGGTATCCAGCTGGCTGACAAGGAACTCTAGCAGAAGTGTCAAGCACATTCTTGTCCTCAGTTGGGATTCCTGTAGCATTTACACATGGTTGACTTTTTCCTACCAGTACCTGTAGCTCTTTGCATGAGTGCAGAACATGCTTGGCCCCATCTGCCCAAGACAGACTAGAGTGGATGCTCAGCGTAGATGCATCAGCAGTCCTCAACTGTTGATGGAAGGAGCTGATGGATTAGTGTCCATCCTCGCATGGAATGGAACAACTCTAAAATGGGATCTAATAGGTCTTCCAGATGCTTAAGTGCCAGCTGCTCACAGCAATAACCTGTTTGTGTGAGCCATGAGGAGAAACTCTTCATCACA